AGGGTGTCTAAGGGCCATAGTCTCAGTTTGTCCCTATCAGACCATTATGCTTGGTCTTCTTTATTTTAAGTTTTGTTCCACATTTTTGTCCCACTCTATCCAGGACTTATTGTGATCCCTTTCAGAGTGGTCAGCAGTGGCATCATCTAGTTCTTCTGGTCTCAGGGTCGTGGAAGCTGGGGTCACGGGGTCCAGTAGTCCTCTGTACTGATTGTTTCCTTGAGTCTTTGATTTTCTTCACTCTTTGCTCCACATGGGGGAGACCAGTAGTTGTACCTTAGATGGCCACTCACCAAAGTAAGATATAGAACATTGTCTTTGTGGACTGTGTTATGCCCGTTGACCTTGATGTCCCCTGACTATGATCCTGAGCCCCCATGCCCAATGGCTCCTTCCCTCAAGGTGTTTGGTTATGGCTAAGGAGTTTTCTTTCATACCTTTGCTCCCTGTATGTTCTACTATATTCATGGATATATTTTTAGCACATTTAAATACATATTAAGAAATAACTCTGTCAAACTAATATATGTTCGTGAATGGGTCTTTAAGCTCTGTCCCTGAATTGGCTTTTAGATATTTGGCAGTTTACTTAATTCTTCTTTCTAGGCCTCATCTTCCTTATACATAAAACATGGGTATTAAACTAGATGAGCCCTTCTATATGTGTATGGACCTCTGGTGGTGCAGTGGATAAGCCATGTGGATGCTAATCACAAGGTGAGCACTTTGAACCCACCACTACCCTGCTGGACAAAGATGAGGCAGTGTGCTTCCATGAAGATTTATAGCCTTAGAAATCCTATGGGCAGTTCTACTCTGTCCTATAGGATCGCTGTGTGTTGGAATCTACTCAGTGGCTATGGGTTTTGGTTTTCTATGTCTGTAATGACAATAGCTTCTGCTGCTCATATACTGGCTCTGAACTTGCCCTGCTTTACCTGCAGTTAATCTTCACAACTCTGTGAGATAGGTACTATCTTCCTTTTCCAGAAAAGAAAACGGAGACGTTGTGGTAATAATGGCTTGTTCAGAATCATGCAGCTAGTGAGTATCATACACGGGATAGGGCTCTGTTGCTATTTCTTCTAGCTGCTGTGCTGCATATTATTTCTTTATGCAGCTGTGGACTGCTGTGTGTCCAGTAGTAGCTCATTCTAAGTTACAGTTACTTCAAAGCAGTTATTGGACACCTTCTGTATTTCAGGAAGTGGGATATGTTCTAGGAATACAAGATTAATGCTGCAGGTTGAGGAAGGTACACATGTAACAGATTTTACCTAGGTGTGTCAGGTATACCAGTAATGACATTACATTGTACATTGGTGCCAGCAGAAAATAGATCTCTGCCTTTGGTTTGCTATAAAAACTTTTTGTGCACTTGACACTGTCATTCCATCTTTGAAACTCCAGGATATACTATTTATTTGCTTAAGAGTATAATTTTGTTTCATTTATAGCATCTAGATTAACAAATGCCTGTGTTTCTCAGTCTTCTGCAGCCAGTTTGCTATGAATATGTAATTCATTTCAGCTTTGGAACAGAGGGTGATTATGGAATTTATGAATTCCTGATCATGGTCTCAACATTTTAAATATTGAGGTGCATCTTTTGTAGACTTTCTCTTCTTTTGAAAATCAGATTATGCTACATTCTTCTTCTTCTTAGTTTAGATGGGTGGCAGCCTCTTGTGAATCTTTATCACTGAGTCTCTTTTTCATGTTAGGAAACTTCTCCATACTTTGGAGAATCTGATCCAAAACGTTAGAAAAGTATATGAATATATATATATGGATGAAATGGGAGCTCTGGTACCATAGTGCCTAAGACGTTTGACTGCTAACCAGAAGGCTGACGGTTCAAACCCATCAGCCACTCCTCGGAAGGAAGGTTGGGCAATCTACTTCCATAGTGATACCGCTTTGGAAACCCAAGGAGGGGTCGCTATGAGTCGGGTCCGACTCGATGGCACAATGGATGAAATATATATAGAAAATATTCAAGTCTTAACAGAGTAGCTTGATGGCTTATCACAAAGTTAATATGCCTGTGAAAATTACTATCTAGGTCAAGAACTAAAACCTAGCAAGAAAAAAAAAAAATTACCAGCATCCCAGAGGCTGTCCCTATGTATCCTTCCATCCATATTCCCATCACTGCTTCTAATATCATAGAGTAATTTTGCCTAATTTTAAATTTGATATAAATTCAAGAACAGAGTGTGTTCTTTTGTATCTAATTTCTTTTGCTCAGTGTTATTGCATGCAGCTTTTGTTAATTTTCACTGGCATATATGTCATTGTGTGTATGGAAGACAATTTACACTTTCATCTGCTATAATGGCCACTCTTTGGAAGGAAGGTTGGACTATCTACTTCCGTAGTGATACCGCCTCGGAAACCCAAGGGTCACTGTGAGTCAGATCTGACTCAATGGCACATAACAACAACAACAACAACATAAATGGGCACTTGAGTCCTTTGCAATTTTTTGGCTAGTATGGATGGTCCTACTATATACTATGAACTATTTTTGTACATGTTTTTGGTATACATATGCATGTTTATGTATGTATGCATTTCTGTTGTGTGTGTCAACCAGTAATCTAACTCTCAACTAGGAGGGAATTGCTGGGTGATAGGATAGATGTATCTTTAATAGGTAATTCTGGTCAGTTTCTCAGAGTGGTTATACTAATTTTCACCTCATTAGCAGCATATGAAGAAGCCCTGGTGGTGCAGTGATTAAGCATTCAACTGCTAACTGAAAGGTCGGTGGTTAGAACCCATCAGCTGCTCTGCAGGAGAGAAGACCTGGTGATCTGCTCCCATAAATGGGGCAGTTCTACTACTCTGTCCTATTGGGAGCTCTGGTGGCATAGTGCCTAAGGCATTTGACTGCTAACCAGAAGGCTAGAAGTTCAAACCCACCAGCCACTCCCTGGAAGGAAGATTAGGCAATCTACTTCTGTAGTGATTCCGCCTCAGCAACCCAAGGAGGGGTCGCTATGAGTCGGATCTGACTCAACAGCAGTGGGTTTGGTTTGGTTTGGTATATGTCTTAATACTGGTAGTGTTTGTCCTCCAGCTTTGTTATTCTTAAAGACTGTCTTGACTGTTCTTGTTTTTTGTCTTTCTGTATAAATTTTTAAATCAGCTTATCAGTTTTGAAGAGATTTCTTAACTATTGTTTAGGTACAAATGAATGGAGTGCTTGCAGATGTTACCCTTCTGAAAAAATCATCTGAGAACTTTCTGTCTGGGGAGATGGCTCAGTGATGAAATTATGCCTGACAGAGTACAGTCAGTTGGATCCATCAAACACACACTGATTGCCCACCCTCTGACAGCTGGTGTTCCATAGTGAAACCTGTGCAGGCTGTATGTAGCCTGTGTAACAGATATGATTATAAATAATTATTTTATCTGCTCTTTGAGTTGGCTTTAGCAAGTTGTGAGCAGACTACAACAATACATTTCCAGGAATATAGGAGAAAATCGATTAGTGCCAGGATGAAGTGTGTTACTTCTTGTCTTTAGAGTCAGAAATGGAGATGCTTGTTTATCATATGTCCACAGTCTGTTACCCAAAATCCTTGAGAATAGCTGTGTTTCTAATTCAGATTTTTTCAGAATTTAGTAAGGTAATAATGTGTGTATGTACACACACACACACACACACACGTGAACATGTGCGAGTGCACACAGTATTATGTAATACTCTCAGTGCTGCCTAGGTCAGCATTCCATAATCAATCACAAAAATACTTCTGTAGTTCAAAACCCACTGACATCAAGTTGGTTCCGACTCATAGGGACCCTGTAGAATGGAGTAGATAGAACTGCCCCATTGGGTTTCCAAGGCTGTCACGTCTTTCTCCTGTGGAGCATCGGGTAGGTTCATTGCTGACCTTTAGGTTAGCACCCCAGCATTCAACCACTGCACCACCAGGGCTCCATATTTCTGTAGAAGACTCTGAATAACCCAGTAAGTGGGATCAACAGGGGCCGTAGCTTCCCATTAGGTCAGGTTTTGCTGCCAAGTGAATTTTGTCACCAAACTTATGAAAATACATTGATTTTTGAGGATATTTTTAGATTTTGGAATTGTATAAAAGGAATTGTGGACTTAAAAAACAATCTGTATATATATAGTTCAAAACCCACTGCCATTGAGTCAATTCTGAATCATAGTGACCCTACAGGACAGAGTAGAACCACTCCCTTGGGTTTCCAAGGCTGTAAATCTTCATGGAAGTAGACTGCCCCATCTTTCTCCCATGGAGCAGCTGGTGGGTTTGAACCACGGAACTTTTGGTTAGTAGCCCAGTGCCTTAACCACAGTGCCACCAGAGCTCCTTAAACTTATGAAAATATCTTAATTTTGAGGATTTTGGGTTGTATAGAAGGGATTGTGGACTTGTATAATAATCTGTATATATGTCCACTGTGATCAGACTGCCTCTGGTCCAGTTATGGCTCTGATCTTTGCCATGTGTGACCATTGGCAACTTACACCTTTTTAAACCTGTTTTCTAAAAAGGAAAATGGAGATGGTAACAGATAGTACCTCATAGAGTCACTGTCTGAGTTAATTGAAATAACAGATGCAAAGTACATCACAGCAACTGGCACATAATAAGCATTCAAATAGTAGGTTTAGTAACAACAGACTTTTTGTATTTTCAGTATTTGTTCTAGCTATGGAGCCCTCTTCTATAGAGATTTGTGCTTGAGTTTTTATGATTATGATCAACTTGATGGCACCTAACAACAGCATTAGGAAGGACCCCTGGTGGTGCGGTGGTTAAGTGATTGACTTCTAACTGGAAGATTGTTGGTTTGAACCAGCTGCCACTCTGCAGGGGAAAGATGTGGCAGTCTGATTCTGTAAAGATTACAGCTTTGGAAACTATATAGGGCAGTTCTCCTCTGTTTTATAGAGTCGCTATGCATTGGCATCGACTCGTCAGCCATGGATATGGTTTTTTTTTTTTCATCAGGAAGAAGATTGTGAGAAAGCCTTTTTCAAAATGGACAACGTACTTATAGACGACAGAAGAATACATGTGGATTTTAGCCAGTCTGTTGCAAAGGTGAAATGGAAAGGAAAAGGTATGTTGGTTTATCATCCTTCATTTCTGTTCTGCATTGTGTGCTATATGTATGTTTCTGCCTTCTGAGTCCTGTCTTCCCAACCCTTCTACCCATGGAAGAAGTGGTATTCCTGCCTAAGTAGTTCAATGTAGTGTATTTAGAAGATGACTTAAGTGAATTCCTCCATGTTTTTGTCTAGAGTAAAATGCCAGGTGGAAGAGCGATGCTTCAGTTTCACGTGCCATCATAAACACATGGTTCATTGTTCACCTGTTAATGTGCAGACAATTTTATGTATCATGGACTCACATTTTAGAAATTTGAATGTATACTATGTGTCATTCACAGTGCTTAAGTGTAAGTACTTTCCCTTGTAGGTTTATTTAATGATTCCAACAGCTCAGTGAAATGTTGGTCCTATTTTGTTTAAAATGAAGAAAATAAGTTTCAGAGACGTGTGGTGGAGCCAGGATTTGAAACGACCTCTCATTTTAGTCTGTTGCCCTCTCTATTGTATCGTAAGCATCTCATCCTCAGTTAGATACCTAATGAACAAGTACATGGCAAACATTTTTTCAGTGATAAAATGCTGGTTGTTACTGTTTTTAGTATTTTAATTCTTGCAATAGTCTTGTGTCACATTTATATGAAACACTGGCTATTGACTGCTTTTTGTTTCCAGAGCTTCTGGAATTGCCAAGTACATTTATGTCGTCTTTGATGACATAATGCCCCCACCCCCTTTTTTGCTTCTATTTTCCTCTTCCTTACAAGACCCTGGCAATAAAGACATACATAGGATTCACCCCTCTCTGTATACCTCCAGTTTACCTTACTTGTACATTTAGTCTTAGGAAGGCTTCTCACAAAAGGCATTTTCCTGTGGTAAGTAAGGGCTAGGAGAGGCAAGTCAGTCCGCAGGTCTGGGCTGTGGGTAAGAACGCAGTCCTCCTCTGGTAGGAGATTGAACTTGTGACTAGAGAAGCTGTGTGGAAGGCTTTCCCTTTCCTGGCCCTGTCACTAGGCTGGCCAGGCTGTGACGTGGGCCCTACTTTTCTCAAGGGCTTGTCCATTTCATTTTTGGCTCTTGAGAGGAATAAAAGTGTTCCTAAACCAGAATTTCAAGCAGAGGCTGTCTCTGGCGCTCTTGCCGGCCCTCTCCCATTACATCTGCTTAGTGACCTTCTGGGCATGTCCTGCAGGCCTTTGGGGGCCTGGTGCTCTGTGGAGATGTTGGCGCAGAGTATCTTTTTTGACAGACCAGAGGCTTTTAAAGCCTTGCTTCTTCCAAAACTATGTCTTTCAGGTCTCAAACTCAGGTTTTAGTTCCTCAGTTTCTATACTTCAGTGTTTTCGTTGACTTGATAGCTATAAATCATTGCATTATTTTTTATTGAATTGTTCAATAGGTAATTTAGAATTTCAAGGTGTGGTTTTGTAATACTCACATACACCATTAGGTGGCAGCATATGGCTATCTAGTAAAATGGATATCTGATTTCATTTAAATTGATAATGGAGAATGAATTGCTATGATATTTTTTCCTTCTCAGCCTTTCTGTCCTGTGACATATATATGATTTATATATATGCCATTTATAATATAACTCTTATATTGTACTTCTTACGAAATATTTTTTGTTCTTGATTAATTAGGTGATTTTTTTTTTTTACTAAGTTCTTTTTTCTTTTCCTAATAATAGGTGGGAAATACACCAAGAATGATTTCAAGGAGTATGAAAAGGAACAGAATAAGCCATCTAATTTGGTTCTGAAAGATAAAGTAAAGCCCAAACAGGAGTATCCTTAGCAAAAACCAGTTAGTGAACATGTATTGACCATCCACTATGTATAAAGTAATGTGTGATACATTTTAAAAGCTATAGAACACAAGGTTCCTAACTCCAGATTGTGAAGAAATAATTTCATTCACAGTCAGTCCCCAGGTTACAAATGAGATTGATTCCGTGTCTTTAAGAATTTGTAGGTCATTTGGACCAGACATATACAAGTTGGACGTTTGTAACCGGGGAATGCCTGTATTGTTACTGCTTTCCGCCATCTTACATATACTTGGAGTTTTCATCATCATCTCTGTTGTATGGAGAAAGTTAGAGATGAAACAAAAATTTAGCCTAATTCTTTTTATATTCCTACTCTTAAGTTAAAATAGGTGAACACTTAGATCTTATTCTCAAAAAGTCTTCAGGTAAGATATTTATTTATTTTCTATATGTAATTATGTTTTAAAGTCCTCGAAGGCAGAATGTTTCTTTATTGCTAAGCTAATTCCCTTGTGCTAACTCTCCTCTGTTTAACTTCCTTGGAGATGGTAAATATCTAGATAATAAAATTCTATAGTTCTTACAAGACTAGGCTGCTGCTTTCTGCATAGTACATTGTCAGTAGTCTATCAACAAATATTGGGTTCCTATTGTAAGCAAGAGTTGACTTTCATAGGATAAAAATGAAATCCATTGACTTGATCATTTGATTCAGTTTCCTCCAAGTTTTAGGTTGAGACAAGTACGAAGCAAAAAAACATACTGTTCTTATGATGTCATTTTGAATTTATTCATTCATATTCTCATATAAATCTATCACTCCACACATCACACAGGTTATTTCTCTGGGGTTCTTTCTGATAAATGGTTTCTTTGTTTCTCAGTTTCTGTTGGTGTTTCAAGGCTTCTCTTTTTTCATACTATGTAGACATTTCTTTTCCAAGTATTCATCCAGGAAAGATGAGTATCAGGTTGATGTGTTATGTATTCATTTTTAAGAACGTGCTGTCTACAGTGCATAAAGCCTTGTGAAGTGTTGGAGGTGGATAAAGTCTGGAATGCACGGATGTGACGAGCATGATGGAGAGGCTTTCGCGTGCAGACAAGCTAAGATTTGGTCTAAAAAGATGAACATTAGAGGGGATAGGAGTGAAATCTCAGTATCATAAGGGGTATGGGTGGGATACGCTGGAGGAAAGGGAGTGTGTAGAACAGATGCAGGGGAGGCTCTGTCCCCCCTCAGGTAGTTGAGGCTGAAATGGAAGAATGGGTTAGATGTTTTACATGCAAGATGATAGGTTACTGAGAGTTAAGAAAAGAAATGAGGCATGTTTGTGAATTAATCTGTAGCCCAACACTTTCCAGTAGAACTTTCTGCGGTGGTGGGAATGGACCGCGTCTCTGTTCTTCATCATGGCTGCTCACACATGTGGCTACTGAACACGTGAAATGGATGAGCAACTGAATTTTAAATTTAAGTTGCAGTTACATAGCCACATGTGGGTGCTGGGTACTGTTTTGAACAGCACAGCTCTAGCCTTTTGAACATGATGTAGAAATAGACATGCCCTGGTGCAAACCACTGTTAATCACTCTCAAAATACTGAAGAAGAAAGGAAATTCATGAGGCTGATCCACTAGGAAGTCTTTGTGTTCTTGATAATCAATGGGTTTCTTTTTATGAGGAATTTGTAATCTCAAGTAGAATAATAGAGGCTTGGAACAAGTGTTTAGAATATGTGTGTGTGTGTAGGCACATACATATTTTAATGTTATTAATAAGTTGTCTTAAGCCTTTTAAACAGACTTTTGGGGGATGTATTTTGTGAGTCTCGAGAGAAAGAGAAATTGCTGAAAATGTAGATTTTCAGTAAGAACGTTCAAAAATCGAAGTGCAGGGAGAAGGAGGTTTAACCTGGCCAGACTAGACCTCAGGGAAGAAACTGGGGAAAAGAGGTTAGTAAGATCAGAAATGTTTGTTATTCCAAGGATTTTGGAGGGATTTTGCATCTTTCTTTTAAAAGTGTTGATGGTAGTAGTGAGAAGATAATGGAGATAAACAAGGAAAAGCTGTAGTGTCTGGGTGACACAGCAAATACTCATTAATTACTTACCTAGCATCTGTTACTTACACAATTAGCAGTGACAGATAGTTATCCCCGGCCCACATGGAGCTAACATTATATTCTTGGAGTGGGAGGTTAAGACGAACATTGCAAAATTACATTAATTAGGTATGTCAAGCATTATAAAGAAGTACCTGGTGATGTGGTTATAATAGGGGTGGAGGTTCCAGGAAGACCCTCAAGTAACACTAAAAGAAGTGACACTAAAGCTCAGATCTGACTACAGAAAAAAGAGGGCTGTGGGATGCTTTTTTTTTAAAAAACCATCATATAAGAAATTTAGGTTGTATCTTGAGCTCTGGTAGCATAGTGTCTAAGGCACTTGACTGCTAACCAGAAGGCTGGCTGTTCAAACCCACCAGATACTCCTCGGAAGTAAGGTTGGGCAATCTACTTCCATAGTGATACTGCCTTAGAAACCCAAGAAGAGGTTGCTATGAGTCGGGTCCGACCCAATGGCATATAACAACAACAATATCTTGACCCAGTACATTTATAGTACAATCATTTACACATACAAACACAGATGGAAAAATTTCATTTAAAAAATCTTTAAGCACCATGTACTTTGTTTTCTATTCACTATTGTTATTATCATTATTGTCTGTGTGATTGGGGCGAAAGTTTACAGAGCAAATTCACTTTCCATTCTGCAGTTCATGTGTATTTTGTCTTACGACATTGATTGTGATGATCGCCATAATGTAATGGTTCTCTTCCTACTTCCTCCTTGTGTCCATGCCTATGCATTCCAGACCTCTGAGCTACCTTTCTGTGCAAATGCTGCCTTTCTGATCTCCCCTGCTTGATTGTTCTAAGGTGTATACCTACCTGGTATGATTGTTCAGTATTGTGTAGAAAATGCTGCTGTGACCCACTAGATGGATTTTGCAGCTCATTGATGAATTACAGTTCTCAGTTGGAAAACACTGTTTTAAAGCGTTCTGTACAGAGGGAGCAGTATGTGCAAAGCACACAGTCCAGTGAAAGTGTAGGCAGGGGTGTTGAATGTGTGTCTGAAGGAGGAGGAGCTGTGGAAGATACTCAGGAAGTAGTGTGACATAGTATAAAGGAGAAAAGAAGTTGGAGATAATGGAGGAATCGTACTAGTCGTCTTTAACTGTCTTGTGAAAAGCTGGAGGGAACAGTGTTTTCCTCTTTGATATACTTAGAAGTGAGGCATCCTGAGGAAAAAGCTGAGAGCCGGGGTCTCGTGAAAACAATCAAGAGGGAAGTGTGTCTGCTTACTGCACCCCCACAGCAACTGGAGGAGTTAGCTGTGGGAGCTGAGCTTCCTCATAACCGGGTTTGTGAAAACCACTGTTCTAGCCCCACAAAGTCCCTGTTAGGAGTTGAGAGTATTTTCAGCAGGAGCTGTAATAGTTTCGCATTTTCTCTTTTTCTAAGATACCATAGTATATTAGGAAAAATGCTATGTCTGAATTAAAACACATTTATAAATTTTTTATAACACATTTATATGAAATAATGGGGGGGGGAGATTCACTCATAGTTCTACCACTCAGACAGATGATACTTTTTCTCTTGTTCTTTTGCACTTTCATCTTTTATAAACTTGTGATTACTATAATATATGCAGTTTTACTTCAAGCTGTTTTCACTTACCATTTTTCATAAATTTCGTTTCCAGGTCTTTCATAGTGTCATTTCCCATTATTAATAGCTTCCTTTATAATAATGTTTAGGAGCTCTGGTAACGTAGTGCCTAAGGCACTTGACTGCTAACCAGAAGGCTGGCGGTTCAAACCCACCAGCCACTCCTCGGAAGGAAGGTTGGGCAATCTACTTCCGTAGTGATACTGTCTCGGCAACCCAAGGAGGGGTCGCTATGAGTTGGGTCCCATTCAACGGCACATAACAACAACAACATAATAATGTTTATAGTTGAAATGCTATAATGTATTTAAATGTATCTTTATCATGAGGCATTTTGTTATTACCAGTTTCTGTTATTAAAAGTAATCGTATGATGTGTACTTTCATTCATTTACCTCTTACTATTTTAGCTTTTTTATATATTGTCAGTAGAGAGTTTTATAAATACATTCTTACTGGTAAATTGTTGATAAGTTTTGCTGAATTAAGACTGAACTAATCTCTGCTTCTTAAAAAAGAGTTCTATGGTTGTATCTGTTATCTAACATCTCTGGGGTTGGGGCCTATAATATTATAATTTTTTCTTAGATAAGATAGTGCCTCATTTCCTAAGTTAGTTTTGTTATTTTCATTACTGAGAAATATATTTTCTTTCTTTTTCTGATCCTTGTGTTTTCATTTGTGGATACAGTATTGTTAGTGCCCCCCACCCCAGTATTGTTGCTTGTTTACCAGTTGGTAACGGTTTATAGATCAGCCTTCTTTCCATTTCTCCTGAGACATAATGACAGAAAATAAGCGCTTTTCTTTAGACATAAACTTATATTTTTTGGTTTAAAGTTACCTTTAGCCTAATGGTCTCCTTTGTTACCAGATTCTTGTGCTGTGATATATTGTTAGTGTCGCTTCTCTCGTTTGTCCTTAACTAACTGTTGCAGTGCAAAATACGATCTCGTGTTAGATGAGGAGGCAGAAGACTCACGATCAAGTCACTCACACACAAGTAAAAAACACAAGAAGAAAACCCATCACTGCTCTGAAGAAAAGGAAGATGAAGACTATATGCCAATCAAAAATCCTAATCAGGTACTTAACAGTTTCCACGTTTAGTTGTGGAGAAATATTTTATCCCTTTGTAATTACATGTTAGTGATGTAACTTAGAAAGTAAACATAATAGTTTTGAACATGGGTATGAGTGTATTCCTAAATCCAAAAGGTTGAATAGTTTTATAGGGGTAAGGAACTTTAATCTTCAAGAATATCTATCAGAAATGAGAGCCTGGTGGAAGCCCTGAGACTATGGCCCCTAGCTGCCCTTCAGGTCTGGAATTGAACCCACTCCTGTGGCTTCCAGCCAAACAAAAGACAGGCATATGAGCTGAACATTTACATTAGGTAGATACTCTCCTTGGAGAGATCAATCATGAGAGAACAGTAGGGCTATGTATGCACAGGGAGACAGCTCAGGGGCAGGAGTGCATGGAAGGACACAGGGAAAAGGTAACTATTGGGAGGAAGTGAGAGGAGACCTGTTGCATTGTGGGAGATTGCAGTCAAAGTCATGAGAAAATGTATGTGAACTGCTGTATGGAAGATGAATTTGCTCTGTAAAATTTCACCCAAATCACAATAAAAATTAAAAAAAATATATCAGGAATGATAAAAGATTGATTTTAAGTCACTTAATGGATCATATGCTTCCCCATTGTGATCCAGAGTAATTTCTCTTTTTGCGAACTCATTTATTCCTGTCAAAAGCAAATGTGGTTATGCTCAAAGAGTTCTTTCCTGTCATTCAGTGTCTGTCCAATACTTACAGCTCATGAGGTTTTAGGGCTTGTAGAACATTTATGCTCTTCCATATTGTATCTATGAAGTAAAAACAGTGCCACTAATTAACTTTATCATCCCCCAAAACTTTCCTCAACAGCAGACTTTCTTAAAATAACAATAATTCTCCAAAGAAAATTGATTATAAAGGGAAAAAAATCATTTCCCACCTGTAAGGCACTCCCTCGCTTTTGTTTTGTCTCACAGAAAACGTGAGCTGGGCCCTGGAGGCTGAGGAGGGAATGGGAGATGGTGAGAATGCCAAGCAAAGACACATACGTGGAGAAAGTTCTATGGTAGTAAAGGGTTTATCGTCAGAAGAACTAGGTTTACATTTTTACACTATCATTTCATTGATGTGGCCTGACAAGTTATTTAACTTTCTGAGCCGTAGTTTCCTCTTCTGTGAAACTCAGATAGTTCTTACTTCATAGGCATATTATTAGCATTAAATGGGAAATTGTGTGTGCATTTCATGCACTGGCTATTATTTTTATGATTACGTTTATGCCATTTGGACCAAAGTGCCACCTCATTATAAGTGAGGCATGTCCTTTTAAAAAGTTACTATTAGTACAAAGCAGCATGTATGTAGAATAGAAGATAAAAATTAGCACACACACAAAAATCCTGAGAAGACTACTCTTTCCGATCTTTATAGTCCTATCTGCAAGCACGCGCGCACACACACACACACACACACACTCTCTCCTCTCTCTCTCTCTCTCACAATTTTTTCTTTTTTGCCAGAGTGAAGATAGAGTCTTAGAATAATTGTATCAACACTGTCACCAGTAATATGATTATTGAAGATAGTTTTTGATTCTTTTTTATGTTCTTTTTGTACTTGAGGTATATCCTGCTAGGATATACAGTCAAATTACTATTTTTTAAAGTAATTTGGTATGGTTTCTGTGCCTCCAGCTGGGTTCATATTTCAGTTAATTGGTTTAATTTTCCTTTTCATATTTAAGAATTGCATTAAAATTTAATTTAATTTTTTTTTTTGGTACTTTCGTAAATTGTTTTTATGATTCCAAGCTGAAATCTAGAAAACGGTACATACAGAGAACCTAGCTTCTGTCCCTTTCCCCTCCTTCTTCCTCACCACACAGGTAACTGTTTTATATGTTTGATAGTTCATTCTTCATTTTTAAAAATTTTGAGCAAATACATCTTTTATATCCTTATGGCTTTATTTTTTGTAACCGGATTCCTGCCTCTTGTCGTCCAGCAGATGACAGCTGTCTTCCTTTCCTAACCCTGTAGCTGTCTGAAGGCTGCGGTCATTCAGACTCCACTGCCCAGTTTGTAAGCTACACATCTCAGTTTCTTCAGGTCTTCTTCCATGGATCAGTGTAGTAGTAATAGTAGTAGCCCACATCTCTTGAGTTCTTACAGACAGAGTGAGCAGTGAAAGAGGTTATGACTTGCCCATAGTTTTACAGCTAGCAAGTCATTGTGGGACTGAAATTTAAACTGAGGCTTGTTCTCCTATACTGCTGCCCTTCTCACCTCGGATATACTCCTGTCAGTTTCCTTTCCTAGATCCTGTTGTTATTGTAGTATATTCTAACACACTTTAATCTCATAATGCCATATTCCAGTATGATCTAGCTAATGGAAATATCTTCCCCCACTTAGATTATCTCTGTCTCTTAATTTAGCCTAAAATCACCTTGATCTTTTTTTATGGTGATTGTATCACATTTCAAGGAGCCCTGGTGGTGTAGTGGATAAGGCATTTGGTTGCTAACCAGAACGACAGTGGTTCAGGCCTACCAGCTGCTCTGAGGAAGGAAGACTGGGGGGGACAATCTACTTCTGTAAAGATTTACAGCCTCAGAAACCCAGCGGGGTCTCTAGGAGTTGGAATCAACTTGACGGCAGTGAGTTTGATTTTTTGATATGTCCCATTTCTCTGAGTACGCAGCAGTTTCCACTAATAACCCTTAATTCCTTTTATTCCCCTCTGTCTGCTTTTAGTGACTACTCCTTATTCTGTAATGGTGCATAGAATGGCACCTTCAGTGAGTTTAGGCCTGAGGGTAAACATCGATGATTTTGAGGTAATTGAAGATCTAAACATTCAAAGGCAGGTTGCCTTTTAAGTCCCTGATATCCCCAGCCCCTCGTGACTCTTTGGTCCTGCTGAATATGAACACTTAGAACCTTAATGTGGTGAGCACCTTTCTCTTTTGCACGGGGGAAGGAGGAGTAGTATTAGGAGAAATGCTGTTAATATTTTAAAAGAATTTTGAAGCAGCTGACAACTATGCGGTTGTTAAATTCTGAATAATACTTCTAGGTTTATTTTCATCCCTCAAAGTGTATTAAAGTACATGTTTTTTATTTTTTATTTTATATTTGGATTTAACAATATCACTATACTAATTTTCTCTTTTTTTTCCTTCTAATAAAACTCACCATCAGAATTTAATATTTTAGAGGGCCCCAATTTTTTGTATTATTCTGATTATTTTTTTCCTTTTGATTTCAGTTTCAAAAATATAATCATGAAGGGGAATTTTTAGTACAAGTTATTAATTCAGATTTTCCTAATTGTTGGTATGTCTGGTTTCCTAAGAATGTTTAAACCATTTATTCGAACTGTTTTTTGCTGATTGACAACCTTACTGTTCAATTTGAAAACTTCTCTGTTTAATTTTCCACCTCATGTCTTAATTCCAAAGGTGATTTTTGTGTTGCTGAGGTTTGAGGTTTTGGGGGTTACAGGAATGAGTATTGAGCTGGAGGTGGCCTGGCTTAGAGGGATGATAGAGGCCATTCAGGCTGGGTGTGGGTCTTCTCTGTGGTCCTCTTAGGTGTTTACTACTCTTATCATCTGGGACTCTATTTTTGCTGTTATTTTAATGATTTAATATCATTTTAGTGATTTAGACTTAATTAAATCTTTCTCAGAGATCTGAGCAAGGGTAGTTTTCAGTTAGGTTAGACTTTTTTTTTGACTGCTTTGCATTAAGTCATTTGTTAGGCTAAGTTGATTGCTTTAAATTGGCCATTTTATATTTTTCTTTTTACTTTTTCGACTATATGCTAGTTTAATCATCTTTTCTTATGTCTTAAATATGTAGAATCGTGGAATTACTAGAAATGCTTACTGGAAGGGAGAGACTCTAATTCAGTTTCCTCACTTTAGGTGTGAAGATATTGATCCCTGAGTCCTCTAAGCTTTTATTTATTGTTTAATGGGAAAGCTAGAACTGGAACTCTCTTATTGTGATATAGTCAAATGTTTTGTTTAATTTTTTAAATCTCTCCCTTTTTCAATTTTATATGTTAGATTACTGATCAATTAAATAAATAGCTTCACTTTTGTAGCTCTCTTGAGCTTCCGTTTCTTTATTTCTAAAATGAAGGGGATACCATACTCCAAAATCACTTACCCTGTTGCTACCACATCCTGACAGCATCGTTCTAATATGACTTCATCCAGCCACCTGACCTTTTCACCTACATGCTCAGCAGTGCTAATTCTCTCTTGCCTTTGAGTTCTCACTGACACAGTCCAAACCCAAACCCTCTCATCCTTTAAGGTGAACCTCAGGTCCTGATTTTGGTACAAAAGCTTCCTTCATAAATCTAGCCTGCAGTGTTTCCTATCTGACACATCTCCTAAATGGCAAAAACCATTTTAACCCAGATCTCCCCAACTTCGGACTTGGTATCATTTTCCCAGTGAGCTGCTCTCTCTTCTCTTGTCAAACAGGAGTGGTTTTGAGGATTTAGTTTGTACCAGATTTGAGTTTCCTCACCTTTTTCAAAGAATTAAGTATTGCATAATCCTTATTTCTTTTGTTTAAAACACTCAAAACATTTAAATGCCTATTTGTATGATAAGGTGTTGAGGATTTTATGGAGTTACATACCAACTGAGAATTCTACATTTTGAAGATTAATTGTCTCGACTGATAAATAAGTACGATATATACAGACAGAGGAACTCTAGTGGTACAGTGGTTAAGCACTTAGCTGCTAACAGAAAGGCCAGTGGTTCAAACCCACCAGCTGTTCTGTGGGAGAAAGATATGGGAGTTTGCTTCAGGAAAGATTATAGCCTTGGAAATCCTATGGGGCAGTTCTACTCTATCCTATAGGGGTGCTATGAGTTGGTATCAACTCAAAAGCAATGGGTTTATACAGACAGAATAGTTAATATTTACATTTTGTATATGTTACAGGAAGCAAAAAATTCTTTAATCTAGGAATAATGTATTTGGCTGGAGAACAGTTGGTAAAGGGCTAAATCAAAGTACCTGCTCATTTTTCAACCTTTAGGACTTTTATAAAATGCCAAAAACTACTGGGGCCACGTAGCACTTCACAAATCAGTTTATAATGTTGTATTCCACAGTGTGGTTGTGATTGTAACACTCATGTTAGAGCTTTTTTTTTTTACATACTGTAATAGTATGCCAGGTGTAATGTATAGTACCTAGGCAGTATATGGAAGGATTAATCATTTGTTTAAAAACTAGCCCTTAACAGTATGTCTCCGTCACTCTGAATTTTATACTTGGAAATTTCTACCTACTATAAGGTCACTTTGAAGACTAAGGTACACCTAACCCAAGCCATGATATTTTTAATTACCTCATATGCATGTGAAAACTGAACACGCAATAAGGAACACTGAAGAAGAGTTGATGCTTTTGAGTTGTGGTGTTGGTGAAGAATACTGAAAACACCATGGACTGCCAGAAGAACTAACAAATCTGTCCTGAAAGAAGTACAGCCGGAATGCTCTTTAGAAGCAAGAATGGCCCAACTTCATCTTATCTACTTTGTTCATGTTGTCAGAAGGGACCATTCCCTGGAGGAGGATATCATGCTTGGTAAAGTGGAGGGTCAACGAAAAAGGGGACACAAATTCTGATGAGCTGGATCGACACGGCTGCAACGATTGGGTTCCAGCATAGCAAGGATTGTGAGCATGGTGCAGGACTGGGCAGTGTTACGTTCTGTTAGTAGGGCCACTGTGAGTCAGAGCTGACTCACAGCACCTAACAACAACAACATGATAATGTCTGTGGTGATAGAATTGGAACTCTTAGTGGTTTAATCCTTAAGAGTTTTAAAGGACATGTGTAATCGCTTAAGACAGTTGCATCTTACAAACTGTCTCATGAAAGGGCCTTGGCTGTGCTCTCTAGATTTGAGCTAGTTGTTTTAATTAGGGTTAGGGCAGAAGCAGAAATAGACTCATTGTAACTAGTGCTCTTCTTTATGGGAAAATTACCATACTATTTAATTATTACGGAATAGAATTAAATGTACCCTTATCTTTGGGGCAATAAATTATTCCAGTATTTCTTAATTTAATAAATATGTAACAAAAACTTATATAAACCTAGTCTAGATACAGAAAATGTCTTCGAAAATGTGGAGAGGATCTGTTATAAAACATTTAAAAAACTTATTACTCAGGCCCAGATATGCAGTATCTCTTTTGTTCTTAGGCCAAGTGACTTACGACCTCTTTCCTTTTTTGTTATTTATCTAATCTTTGTTACAGGACTTTTATGGAAATTGTAGTCATTTCAGTGCTGACCAGTGATGGGAACTACCTGCCGTGGGCAGTGAGAGAAGTGGGAGAGGTGACCACATGTAACCAGAATATTGCAGTTTTGCTCTGAAGACTTGTTTAATTTCAGTTGGGCTATTTCAGTTCCCTGTTTTTGGATATGGCCTTGATTTCCACTGAATAATAGATGAAATTAATAATAAGAAGGTTTAAAGCTTTTTTTGGATTTTTCCTTTTTAATTTATAAGATTCTTGACATTAGTGAGAAAATTCAAATTTGAGCTTTCCAACTTCGTATTAATGGTGGACTTGTCCTCTAAGTTTTGTTAATTGACAGTATCAACAGTATTTTTCACTGGTTCACTTGTAACTCTCTCTCTATTCCTGTGACAGGATATTTACAGAGAAATGGGATTTGGTCACTATGAAGAAGAAGAAAGCTGTTGGGAGAAACAAAGGAGTGAAAAGAGAGATCGACCTCAAAACCGAAGTCGTAGCCGATCTCGAGAGAGGGATGGCCATTATAGTAATAGTCACAAATCCAAATACCAAACAGATCCCTATGAAAGAGAAAGGAGCAAGAAGAGAGATCGAAGCAGGAGTCCAAAGAAATCCAAAGATAAAGAAAAATCTAAGTACAGATGAAAAAGATGAATCGGAAATGAATGGCTGACACATTTACTCTTGTCCACAGGTTTCTGACTTACAGCACCAAGAAAGCAAGTGTTCAGAATTTGTGTCAAAACATTTAAAGACTCTGCTTGTTATTTTTATTTTATTTTATTTCCATATTAGGAATGTGGCCCTTTTACATTAATATTGATTGTATAGGACGATGAAAAACAATAAAGAATTTAACATTTTCTTTGTTTTTTACACTACTTTTACTGTACATAAATGGTAGTCTTCATTTTTAAAGTCACATTTTCCATTCATCTTTGTTTTTGAATGAAGTATTTCACATGTATAAGAAATACATAAACATGTATAAATTATGAGATGTAAAATACAATAAATACCAGTGTACCCATCAGCCAGTTTACAAAATAGAGTATCACCTGCGTTTTCGAAGTCTCCCTGTGTGCCTGCTCCCTCTCAAGTAATCTGAGTTTTGTATTTTTCATTTAACTTGATTATTTTTATAGTTTTATAACATATGTATGTATACATAATGAAACATTGTTAAGTTTTGTATGTTTTTGAATTGTATATAAATGGAATAATGAATGTTACTTCTGCAGCTTGTTTTCTTCAACTTAGTATTTTTTGAGTCATTTGTTTTTACTGCTGTCTCATTGTATGAATATAACACAAGTTCTTAATCCATTTTTCTGTTGATGGACATTTGGAGTTTTGTTTTTGCTATTACAGTGCTGCTACAAACATTCCGTATCTAGAAGTGAAATTGCTTGTCATATTGGGATACCTTCATCTTTATAAGATAATGCTGAATTTCTTAAGTGGCTGTACCAGTTTATACTGCTAGTAGCACTGTGTGAGTTACCTTTGTTTCACATCATCTCCAACACTTGTTAATTTTAGACTTTAAAATTTTACCAATGTAGTGGATGTTAGATGGTATCTTACTGTGTTTTCTAACAATAAGACACTGTCATTCTTTGTTCTATGTGTAATGTGCCATTTTTCTGTGGCTGTTTTTAAAGTTTTCTGTTTGTCACTGATTTTAAGCAATTTGATTATGATGTGCTTGGTGAGGTTTTTTTTTTTTTTTTCATTTTCCTTCTGTTTGGAATTGTTGGATCTGCAAGTTTATGGTTTTTATCAAATTGAGAAATTTGGGGCCATTATTTCTTTAACTCTTCTTCTTCCAGGACTCCAATTATATGTGTGTTTAAAAAATAAAAAAAAACTCACTGCCGTCGAGTCGGATCCTACTCAAAGCAACTCCTCCTTGAGTTTCTGAGGCGGTATCTCTACGGAAATAGATTGCCCAGTCTTCCTTCTGAGGCGTGGTTGATCATTTTTAAATATGTGTGTTAGACCACTTAAATTGTTTCACTGATGTTCTTTTTTTTTAAAAAAAAAATCTTTTCTCTGTTTCATGTTGGGTCATTCCATTGGTATAGCCTCAAGTTCACTAATTTTTTCTTATGCAGTATCTACTGTCCTGTTAATCCTTTGTATTTTTAATCTTTAGAAGTTCTATTTAGGTCTTTTTTTATACAAGCATACCTCAGAGATATATCCAGACTACTGCAATAAGACAAATATTATTGCTATAAAGTGAGTCACATGAAGTTTTTGGTTTTCCAGTGCATACAAAAAAGTGTTTACACTCTGTTGTAGTCTAATGAGTATGGAATAACATTATGAAAAAGTTTGAAATATTGTGAGAATTACCAAGATGTGACACAGAGACAAAAAATGAGCACATGCTATTGTACAGATGACTCAGATAGACTTGCTCAGCACAGGGTTGTCACAAGCCTTCAGTCTGTAAAAATGTAAAATCCTGCAGAGTGCAGTAAGTGAAGCACTGTACAGTGAGGTATACTTGTATCTTCCATGTCTCTCTTTAACGTGCTCATGCTCATGTGCGGAGTGTGTATATAATTGCATTAATGTCTTTGTCCATTCTATCTGTATCATTTCTGGTCTGTTGCTGTTGAATGTTTTTTCTCTTCGTTAATTTTCTGTTTTTGCATGCCTGGCCGCCGGATGGGATGTTTTTATTGCTGAGTCAGTTCCCACTCATGGCGACCCCGTGTGTTAAGAGGAGAGCCGTGTTCCGGAGGGTTTTCTGTCTGCTTTCAGAAGCAGGTCTGTTTTCCAGGATGCCTCTAGATGGATTTGAGCTGCCAGCGTTTGGGCAAGTAGTCAAGCACTTAGCCATTTGTGCCCCCAGGGACTCCTCTTTTTTTTCCTTAACATTTCTAATATTTTCATCAGAGTTTATTACAAACTTGTTTTGCAGGCCACAGGGAGATAAAAGGACTATGTCTGTAGCCTTACAGGAAACAGGCAGGGGGCTGAGGAGGTCCAGGATGAGTCTAGGGCCTTGGTGTGTGCATTCCGGGGGGAGGTGGCCTCATCCTCAGGGGTAGTGTGCACATTGGAGTCCCTTGTTTGAGGGGTGATCCCCATTGTAGGGACTCCTTTTTGGTTGGGTGAGCAAAAACCCAACCCAACCCATTGTGGAGTTGCTTCTGACTCATAGTGACCTTACCGGACAGAGCAGACCTGTCCCACAGGATTTCTGAGGTGCTGTCTACTGATGCAAACTCCCACATCTTTCTCTTGCAGAGTGGCTGGTGGGTTCAAACCACTGATCTTTTGGTTAGCAGCCAGTTGCTTAACTACTGCACTAGCAGGGCTCCTTTGGGTTGGATGTTGTTGTTATGTGCCATTGAGTTGTACCCAACTCATAGCGACTCCTCCTTGGGTTGCCGAGGCGGTATCACTACGGAAGTAGATTGCCCAACCTTCCTTCCGAGGAGTGGCTGGTGGGTTTGAACCACCAGCCTTCTGGTTAGCAGTCA